TGGGTGTGTGGTGGGGGGGGTTGAGTGTTTTTTCCCAACTCCATAGCGTTCCACTGGGACTGGCTCTGTTTTTTGTTTGTTTTGGTGTGTTTGTTTTTTGGCCCCAACACATTCCTATGGGGCTTTCAGAGTTTATTTTATTTTATTTTATTTTGTTTATATCCTGCCTATCGTATACATATGTTTAAAACAATGACAAAGGAACCAGAAAACAAACAGAAATGAGGGGCTGTCTCAATCACAGAGTCATTAAAATTTTTACCAGTCAGGTTAGTGGTAAGTAATAAAACAATAGAGTATACTCTATTTTATTGACACCCAGGGTTGAGGCATGCAGAACTGCAATTTTTCGAATAAAAGCAGGAGCATTCTACCAGCTTTGTAAAATACTAGGCTCCCTTGGGCTCTTCCTGGTTTGTCTACAAAGCTGATATTCCAGCAGGTTTGGTCCATCTTACTTGAAGATGGGACATTAAAGGCTTTGAGAGCACTATCCTGAGGCCCCCAAAGGCTTCTTCAGAACAAAAGATATCCTTAGGGAGTCTTGGAACATGGCTGATTTTCTCACCAGCCTTTTCTGCGTGGAGCTTTTAAAAACAGGATTTCAGCCATTATTAATAATATAAATATTACTACATTTAAACTATCGTTTTGGCATTCAGTAGAGTTGTTTTGAGTTCCACACCATTATCCATAAAAGCGACATAGAGTTATAGACTCTTTATGTAGAAAAAGGATTACTGTATTGTAATTGCAATCAGACACCTATAAAAGATCTGAAATAATTATTGTCATCCTGTACATTCCTTTTCTTTCTGCCTGCCTTCACTGTAAATGAATTTTTATTAATGCAATTAATTATTGCATTAATGTTATGCATAATTAAATTTGCTCTTCAATAAAAAGTAGAAAGTGGCCTCCTACGATCATTTGGCAGATTCTGATATTTATAAATTTATTCTGGTTAACATGAAGTAACTAAACCAGAAAATTATTTTTGCAATAAAGGGCTATAATTGCCTGTTATTTAATTACTTTTTAATATGACTTTGATTTATCACACTTATAAAATATTAGTAATGGGAAAGCAAAGGTTCAGAGAAAGTATCAAAGCACTGCATATGTTTTTAGTTGAAGAATTATTCTTGGCAAAAATTAAATATTAATTTATGCTGATTGGAAGAAACTTGCAAGGCTTGGGCTGACGCGAGAGATAGACATTCAAACAAATATAAGGGCTCCACAAGTACATGCTGTGTTCTGACCGAACCCCTCTGGAAGGCCCAGACGTTCTCCACACGTTCTGGGACATAATCTGTATATTATCCCGCCCATCACGAGTGGTAGTCAGTCACATGAAACAAGTGTCTGTCTGCACACCAGAGCTAAACTAATTTAATTTTTAGTCTCAAGGTGCCTTTGGCAACCATGGTTCAAGGGAATGCAACGGAATTCTCCACCGGGGAGGTTTTAAAGTTCCTCACCAAGCTACGAATCCCAGGATTTCTTAGGACAAAGCTGTAACAGATGAAAATGGTATCAGAGTAGTACATGTAGTATAGGTACTCCTTACAGCAAAGGACAACTACAATGTAATGGTATCTTTGGGGGAGAGAACTTGGAGGACGGCTTCGAGCGAGATGAGGGAATGTTGCCCTGGGCTCTCACAGAGTCATTAAGGGTCCAGAGATAGTTTCATGCTCAAAAGCTCCACCATAGCACTGACTTGTGGGCTCAGGGCTGGGTGGAAGTGAGGAAAGGTTATATAGCTGGACCATTACTGCTAAGCAGGAGTGGGATGGGAGAAAGCTCATATATACTCCAGTCTTCTGCAGACTGTCCGGGAGATGTTACTCTTCTGGAATCCAGCTCCCAAAAGGGCACAGCCAGCTATGCTGAGTGTTGGATACTAGGCATTGTACTCCCGAGAAAGTAACACTTTTGAGCTTTGGTTGTGTGCAGAGAGCTTCAGCGCACCAAAGCTGGTAATGTTGCCGAGAGCCCCTGTGCAGGGCCAGTACCGCAGTGCCTTCATTGTGAGATCAGGATTTGCCCCCTTCCTGCAATACCTGCCCATGGATTAAGCAGGTGGGTAAAGAGAGGCTTCATCTCTAAATTTTAGGAGATACTCTCTGCTTTGGTCACAAGTGGCATACGCCCTGCAGGTTTGTATGTGAACCTCTCAGTTCCCTGAGCTGAGCGTGAGGTGAAACTGAGGGCCATTTTGAGGAGATTGGAAAGCCCTCTGGTCCTGTGGCAGCTTAGAGAGACATTTTGCCTTGAGAGGTGCATACAGAGAATGAGGAGATAAACCAGTTTTGCTGCAAGGTGGTAGCCTCCTTGTTCCACAGGTAAAGCAGGACGACACATGTAGAATGATGGGAAAGTGTGTGGCTGGCTGGTTGTTTGTTTTTGTATGTGTTTTTGTGCAAGCTGAAGTTGTTTTAGAAATCTGTTTAGATCTCTTAAGGAGTGGCTACAAAGCGAGAAACACATGGATTGATCGACTGTGCTTCACATGAATGGAAGTTGGGTTTTCCCTAGCAAATTTACAGTAGATGTCCAGATTTGCAGGAGTCAGCAGGGGCAGAGAGCTCAGTTTACTCTGAGCTTCAAGAGCAGAAGCTGTCTGAAGAAGGTGCTGAAAAGCTGTGATTGGCAATCTCTCTCTCTCTCTCCCTCTCATTTTCATTGGTTTCCTAAGTGCTCTAATAAAAACCTGTTCCAGTGCTGAGGTGAAACCAAAGAAAGAGAGAAATGATTTGAAGACAAGGGGTGCTCAGTTGAAAGAAACTGACTTCCCCTGAAGTGCCCCTTTGCTGTAGATCAGACAGACACACTGACAGAGGTCAGACCGTTCACAACAAATTTAGAGCCATCCTGGTTGCTGAACAACAGCAACAAAGAAGTCAATCCCCCATTCACAAAAGATAATAGGGACAACTCCGTAATGGGCTTCCCTCTGTTCAGCTTTATGTTGTGTAATTATCACTGGGCTTTAATTTAAATTCATTAGTGCCCAATCTGAAGTGGGGTAACTGGCTCCCTCCCCCAATGGTTAGAGGACAGCTGGATTATCACAGTCCACAAGTCTGCTTACTGCACAAACAGTTCCTTGAATATGTAGTAGTACGGAAATGAAGCAAATAGATCTTAAGCTACAACTACAATGTAATGGTATCTTGGTTGTTCAGCTCTCTGAACTGCTGTTTAATACAGGTGAAGGTTACTGGTTTTGTGACTATATATTCAAATACAAGTAAGAATAAATCTATTGTTGCAGTATTCAGTTGCTCACCAATATTTCTTTTGCTGAAATATTTCTTATGGACATCATATATCTTCATACTTTGCACAAAAATAGTTCTTATGCCTCTAGGATTTTAGGAAACATAAAGGCCTATCAGTGTGGATGCCTCTGCAGAACTTGAGTCAACCAGCAAACTCAGAACTGGCTTATACACAAGAGAATTAATTAAGGAGGCAAACATTTTATGCATTAAAATGAGATACTGTAACTAGTTAAAGCGTCTGTGATAATATTGTGAAGCATTGATGATGTATTGAATCATATGCTTTAAAAACGTGGGCCCTAAAATTTTGAATCACTCTGGTTTATTTCTGCAGGAATCTCATTAAAGAGCTCTGAATGTTAATGACTGTGGCTTCGTTATCATCTCATCATTTTTATAAGCAGAATGGCTCACAAACTTGATGTGGAAAACCACCCTATTTAGATGACTTGCCATAAAAACAAGGCTTTGTGCTTTTTGCTAGAAGGCTATAAGCTGTCAGATTTATATGCTCACGTGACCCAATCTTTTTTTCCTTTTTTCACCAACTTTACAGGATTTTCTCTTACACCGCTTAAATAGGGAAATCTACAAACCGTTGCTCATTAACTTCTCAGCGCAGACCACAGCAGCTCAGACGCAGAACATCATTATGTCAAAGCTTGATAAAAGGAGAAAAGGCGTCTTCGGTCCCCCTTTAGGGAAGAAAATGGTAACTTTCAAAAGCAAAATAACGATGTCAGCATATTACAGCCCTTGAGAACAACATGCACACCCAGAGTGCCTCCATCATGAAGGCACAAGTATAGGCACACTAACCACGTCCCTTTGAAATGTGTTGAAATGGATACCAGGCTCTCTTGTGTTCTTGGAAGGGCAAAGGATATGCATGAATTTATGAGCTGGTTGGTGTTATTTTAAATGTTTAATTTCATATACATACTATGCAGGACCTAATGTGGTGAAGCACATAGAGTCTCAGACAAAGACTCAAAGTTGACTTGAGTCCAAGTGGGGTCTCCCTGACTCCCCACATGGGAGGCTTGGGCCTCAGCTCTACCATGGAAACTTACTGGGGGATGGCAGTGGTAAACCATTCCTTGAATATCTCATATACCTCAAAAATCCTAGAAGGTTTACCATCATTCTGAGGCAACTTCACTATGGCTGATGCATACATCTGTAACACAGTTCGCACAACCCACCCATTCTCCCCTCAGTCTGTCACGCAACTCCTGTTTTTTCTCTGTCAGTGATAGATGGTGGGGATGGGAACTAAGGACTGCCCACAGGGTGGGAAGCATGCACAATGGAGATGGGATGTCCTAATACTTCCTTTGGACTCCAGAACAGTGGTTCCCAACCTTGGGTCCTCAGATGTTCTTGGAAAACAGCTCTTAGAAATTGTGGCCGACACAGTGAGTGGCGAAGGCTTCTGGGAGTTTTAGTCCAGGAACATCTGGGGACCCAAGGTTGGGAACCCTTGTTCTAGAAGATTCCAAGAACATTTGCACAGGTACAGAATGAACCCGTATGTGTGAATTCACAGATGACCACTTGAAGAACTGCAGTTACATGTAAACAACTTGTCATTTCTTGCCTGTACTCTGCCTCTTTCTTGAGGCTGCCCATGTAATGACATCAAACTCAATACAATCAAAATTGTGTTTTTGAAATAATTTTTATTTTTAGATCTTGTGCTTTCACTGAGCGTCCCTGTTGTTTATCATTCCAATTTCATTTGTGTTTTTTTTAATGATTAGAAGGCCTTTGTTACATTGCCTGTGTAGAAGGGTACTAACAAATTTCCATAACAGCTTGTAAAGTCATTTGCTGCATGACTATGCACATTTTCAGTCAAAAGGGGAAAAAATGCACAGGTACACAAGTAGAAGTCTGGTCATGCAGTTGGGGTGTTCCTGACCCTTCTGCCCCCCTCTGTCTCTTTATAGTCTGTCCTATGGGTTGAGATACTCTGATGGTCTACTAAGGGCTGCAGTGGAACAGAAGAAGAAGCAGAAATCAGGCCAAGGAAGTTTCCACAAGTAGAAAAGATACCAAAAACATGTCATCTGTAATCTTAACATCTTGCTGACTGGGTTGCCCAGAGATAATTAAGACTTTTTGCTAACCTTCCATGGCCACGTAATTCAGTCTCTAAAGTTGTCATCCTGTGCACAGTTACCTGGAATTAAGTGCCTTTGAACAAATATGAGCACAATGATGTGGTGGTAGATTTTGTAATGTAGGCCCTCATCATGATGGCATGCTTAGGCTCCACCACCCTGCCAGCAGCGGGGTTAATCTCTGGAACAGCAGTTTTCATGTCCATCAGAAGTCTTTTATATGTCCAACAGGTCTTCATTGCCCATTCAAGACCAAACTATCTCAGAATACTTTAGCCAGTTTCCTAACAGCATAGTAGGAATAACCACTAGCGGCAGACTGCTGTTATTAAAGAATTCCTTCTTTCCTTTGAAGGTGCACAAAAGCCAGACCTTGGGGTTAGGATGGGCAGAACATCTGGCAACCTCTGCTCACAGGACCTGAGATCTGTGCTCTCTACCTGTTTCAGTGGAGAAGACTTCTCTCATTGGACATGTGGAGAAACTGCAAAAATATGATCGTGCACGGAAGCCATACTATTGGGTTTACTTTTTTTTTTTTTAAGGCATCTGACTTGCAAGTGTAGTTCAGTTTGTAGGCAGGTTACCTGACAGTACTGTTTTATGGCCAACCACAGTAAGAATGAAAATGTCCACAGCAAAGCAAAATTCACAGGTTGCTTTTTGAAGAAAGAAAAACTGGACTTGGAATCCAGTGTTATGTTTTGAGATAGGTAGAGCTGATGAATCTCAATCCATGTGACCTAAGCACTCCTCTACCTAGTCTTAAAGAGTCTTGAACTCACTTGGGGAGTGGAACTGGTAAAGCCACCCAAATATCTCCTTTACCTTGAAAGCCCTGTTTGGGCTGTTATAAGTCTGTTTTGACTTGACAGCACAGAAGAACTACATATATTTTCCATTCTATCCTATGGATATGAAAGGGAAAAAAGGATGGATGGATAGCTTTTATGTAATTTATAAGAAATGCAATCAGGACTTGCTCTACTAAGGAATGAGGTCTTTTTATAAAAAAAACGCCTTGTATAGATCATATGTTCAGTGTACAGGAAGTGTTGTGCTGAAAAACAGTTTCTGTTTACAGGTTGTATTTGTGGATGATGTCAATATGCCAGCGAGAGAGGTCTATGGTGCTCAGCCTCCAGTTGAGCTGCTTCGCCAGTGGTTAGACCATTGGAACTGGTATGACCTGAAAGACTGCTCTATGATTAAACTTGTGGATATTCAAATCATGTGTGCCATGGGGCCACCAGGTAAGGCTATTTAAACGTTTGAGAAGGTGCATTTCTTAGCGCATGCAAGAACAAATGCTTTTCTTGTTTCGGTTCTTTAGAAATCCAGTTTCTGAATATGGGGAATATTGGTCTTTTTATTGCTGAAGTGTTCTGCAGTCAAGAAAATATAAAACCAATGTCGTACGTGAAACAGTTCCACACGAGTAGTCCATTTAGGAGAGCAGATCTTAAAATCACTGACCCTCTCATTCCCTCTCCCTTACCCTTGTTTTAAGCTTCTCTATTCTTTCCAAATTATCATTACTGTGGTTGTACAACAGAGGGAGGCAAGTATCTGCAAATACGGTCCCCCAGGACCTCATTGAAAAAAAAGAAAACTTTGGCTGAAACCATTCCCTTGTGTTCTCTAAGAGCGTGGAAGGAGATTTTACCACAGTTTGGGCCCTTACTAGCACCACTATCTGCCTGCCTGCCTGCTTGTTGGTGTGTTTGTGGTTTTCCCCCTGGAGGGCATGAGGAGGCAGGAACATAGGAGCAGAATCTCTGCCTACAAGCCCACACTCTGAAACATATGGTTCGACACAGAACAAAAAGGGAGGAGGCAGGAGGAGGAAAGCAAGGAACTCAGGCATCAAGTTGTGTAGGAATTCTTGTAATGAGCAGCAGTGAGCCCGGCCAGCCCTGGTGGTGTGGGCTCCATCCTTTATCCCCAACTCCATGGACAGCACCAAAGGTACTTTAACATCAACAGGATTTATTTCCATTGGGACAGGGGAAGCAGACAAACAATTAGGCCCTTCCTTTGGGGCCATTCCCTTCATTACTTGCAGGTCTTTTACAGGGTCGGAGAGTCTTCTGGTTATGTTCAGCAGTCTATTCTCTGGCCTGGCCACCCCTAATCGGATGCTCTGTGATGTCCACCCCCTTGAAGCCCGCACCACTGTCACTGAGAGCCATGGTGACAACCCCAAATCGATACATTCCCAGTTTCCAAGCGGCTCAGGTTCTTCCAAGGTTCCACCTCCTCATGATAGTTTCCTGGGGACCCTATAAATCATCTCCCTCAGTCCCTTCCACTTCCACATCGGGTAAGAGATCCTCCATCTGCACACCTTGTTCCACCTTCCCCTATTCCTCCTCTCCCACCTCCAAAGCCTCCCTTATATCTCCCAGTTCCCAGGGGCTCACCAACCCCTGTTCCTCCAGGGGGCGTTCTTCTTAGCCAGGTTCTCTGATGATGCCTCCTCTCCCAGGACTTCTGTTTAAGTTCCTGGCTCCCAGGCCTTGGGTTCTTTGTCCCAGGGATTCCTTGGCACCCCCTTGGCCCAGAGCGCATTGCCCTGCTCTACTGGGAAACTGCTTGTCACAAATCTCCAAGTCGGAAGGAGAAGGGGAGATTGCTCACCCACTGGGGTGCTGGTGCTGGTGTCCTCCTCCTCCTCCTCCTCCTCAAATGGGAGCAGTCCAGAAGGTGATGGAACTTTCTAAATGTGCTTATTCCTGAGATACCAGAATGGTCCAGCTTCCCATCTTTCCCTCTCCTAAAACTTGTTTTGAATGAGCATGTATTCTATCAGTGATAGTTGCTCCTGGAACTGCTTTATATTATCTATGAGTCTGTTTGATTAGTTATTCTGGATCACCACGTGGTGCAGCTGATGGGAGAACTACATTGTACAATGTGGAATACCACTGAAGACCATGTGCTCCTTCTGAATTCTTCCTCTCTTCATCTTTAGGAGTTTTCCTTGGCATGCATAATATACCTAGTGTGCAATTCCATAGTATGTGTGTGGAAGAACATCATCATCATCTATAAGCTGTTTATAATTATATGGAGAAAGGAATTTTCTTTCTTACATATTTTGTGAGAGATTTAAACAATAATAACTGCATGCCATCAAGTAAATTCTGACTTATGGCGACCCTTTCCCCAGTTTTCCAGGTAGAGAATACTCAGAAGTAGCTCACCATTCCCTTCTCGGGGGGGGGGCGCCCTGGGACTGTGCAGCTGGCCCAAGGCCGCATCGGTTGGCTGTGCTTGCAGGAGGCACAGTGGAGAATCGAATTCCAGACACCTGGCTCCACAGCCAGGTTATCTAACCTAGTGAGCTATGCAGCCAGCTTTAAAGAACATGGGTGCTTCCAAATGATCTGTTCCTTACAGTGGTACTCATTAGATATCATACATCTGTCCTATCCTGTTGGATGTTTTTCTGGAAAGAAAAAAGGCAGTAGTGGTGGCAAAAATACCACAGTGCTACAAACGGAAAAGATTGTTTGGATCCCTGGAAAAATATTATGAATGAAGCAAGATCATTGTGTGAGAAATTGTTCCTTGTCTGGGAACACCCTATTTCAGTTCAAGTATGGCTGCAAAATACAGTGACCCTTGTTACTCTATGCTTCTTCTTCTTCTTCTTCCAAAAAGCGTGACTATTCAGGAAAATTATTAGGATCCCCTTTTCACATTAGCAGCAGAGCAGTCAGATTTAATCAGGTGACAGCAAATCCTTGCATTGAAACCCAACTCTGTCCCCGTTGGAAAGAAAAAGGGGGTGGTGGAAACTACATTTTAAATAGCAAAAGGGACAAACAAGCATTGAAGACTCTTCCGCCAGGCTTTCCCTGATCCTTAGGTTTTCGTTGTCAGCAATCCCCCATCTCCAAGGAGATACCGGGGATGCCGGAGAATGGAGAGATTCCAAAGTTTAGTCAGTCCTTTAGGAGCTAAGATGAGCCCAAGACTCTCAGCTCATAAGGAACACCCCCTCCTGGGTCTTGTTGTTTCGCCTAACTTTCTCATGGGAGCTGGAGAGTTGTTATCATGTTTTGTGGCAGAATTATTTTGACTACGAAAGTCTCTGCTCTCTACCCATCTTAGCAACGAGATAACCAGAGAGCGAAGCTTCTCTGAAACAGCATGAAAACCTTTTCTACTACAGAGCAGACTTTAAATCAAGATGGATGCTGTCAAGACAATATTAAATGACCACAAAACCCATTCTAGCATCTCATAAAAACACAGATCATGACATTCCTATCCCCCGCCTCCTTTTACCACTCTTTTGCCATCCTTTTCATCATCCATTTTAGCACCTTCATTGCCATCTGTTTTAATTTACCCTCCTGCGAACTTTAGGATACAGTTTTTGTGCTTTGTCACATTGTCACCTGGAATGCTGAAGGCTCATGCACTGCTTTTCTTTCTTTTTTTTTTTTTAAAATGTTGCATGTTGCGTCACTGGCACAGTGGTTTTGGCTCACAGAAGCTGTTCCTGGTAGAAGATGTTTTTCAATGTATGTTTGGCAAGTAGAAGCCAGTCCAAATTCTGTTCTATTCTATTCTGAGCTCCGATTGTCCTTCCTAATTGCAGGTGGAGGCCGAAACCCAATCACACCCCGATATCTACGACACTTCAATACAATCACTATTAATGAATTTGACGATGCTTCAATGTATACAATTTTCTCAAGAATCTTAGACTGGCATCTTTCTATATGGTAAGTATCTGTGGTATATCATGGCATATTAAAGTAGTTAATGGAACTATATCAGCTATCAAAACATCTTCCGCCTTAAACATGTTGGACCAATGCCTCGTTGTTTAGTAAGTGATGGGGTTGCTAAGGCAAAGTGTATAGGATTGTCAATCATTACAAAAACATGAGAAGCATGGCTTTAATGGAATTTTGATATTCACATACCTATTTCATTTACTACATGCCTTATCACAAAAGCAAAGAAACTCCAAAACTACCAACTATCGTATACTGTATATGATTTATATTGTATTTTATACTGTGTTTACTCTATGTGTGAAAACCCAGTTCTGCTTATTCCCAGTTATAAAACCTGATACAGATGTGACTATTGTTCTTTTGTCTTGCTTTAATAAGGCTGTGATTATACTGGCAAGCCAAACTGGAGCAATTCAATTTTGCTGCAGCTTGATTCACAACCTATGTTATGCTTCTCTTTGGATTACGTGATCACATGGAGTATGTGGATTCCTTCAGTGTCAATGTCCACACTGCTCCCTCAGTCATAACCAGTTTGATCCATGCCACTTCCCCCATTCCTTTGATCTCACCATCTGCCAACTCTTGACTCTCTTTTTATGATTTATTGTAAAGCTGGTGAGCTGCTTAAAGTGTTGCACACCACTAGGGAAAAGGGACAGTTTCTCAGAGTTCTCCATAATGTACAAACACATACACAAATACTTCAGAAACATAGTAATCTGCTGTAGGTCTTGAGCGTTGTTTCTGTTTCATGTCAATTTTTGTCCTTTTTTGTCTACACTGAGGTGATCTAGCACTAAAGTAGTATATCAATGTAGTGACAAGGCGATTTATTGCTAAACTTGATAGTTTTTTTAAAAAAAAATACTTTGGTGCGACTTGGAAAAAAGATCACAAGAATTGGTGTTTTCATTGTCCAAAAATCACACCGATCTTAGTACATCACCAGAATGCTATCCACAGTCATAACTCCACGCTCCTT